AAATGGATTGGATGGAACGTAAATGGAGTATGGATGGAGTATAGGATAAATAAATGAATGAATAAAAGGGATTGGATGGACCGTAAATGGAGTATGGATGGAGTATAGGATAAATAAATGAATGAATAAATGGATTGGATGGAACGTTAATGGAGTATATGATAAATAAATGAATGAATAAATGGATGAAGATAATGATAGAAAAGTAAACAAATGGAAGAGAATGCACATATCTCGAGCTTATCTAATAAATCATTATTTTCTATTATTACATCTAGAAAATACATCTTGGATCCATATTAACATTTTTATTATATTTTGCTGAATCGACAGAATAATATTTTGTTTGCTCTAAACCCAAAGTACTAGGTATCACATGCTTATTTACATAACAAACTTTGATGTTACACTACATAGAATTCCATGATATTGATACTAGCTGCATATCTCTATATTGTAGTTATAAATCTGTGTATTGTAATTAAACATCGGTGTATTATAGTTATATATCTGTGTATTATAGTTATATATCTGTATATTGTAGTTATATATCTGTATACTGTCGTTATAAATCTGTATATTGTAGTTATATAGCTGTATATTGTAGTTATATATTTGTATATTGTAGTTTTATATCTGTTTATTGTAGTTATATAGCTGTATATTGTAGTTATATATTTGTATATTGTAGTTATCTATCTGTATATTGTAATTAAATCTATATATAAATTTGGCTTGTCTGTTTGTTTGTATCCAATAAACGTCAAAACGGCTTAACCGATCGGGCCCAAATTTTCTGTGGGACATCTAGGACCCCAGGGAAGGTTTATGAATGATCAAAATTTCAAATATTTGTCTCCATCAAAATTCGATCTTCATTAAATTTTTGAAAATTTTGAAAATCCACGAATTATTTTTGATTTGTTTTACGATGTACACAAAGAGAACATGTTCACAATTAATTTAGAAGATGGGCGCGAAGCGTCCTCTAAGGCTAGTATCTGTATATTTTAGTTATATATCCGTATATTGTAGTTATATATCTGTATATTATAATTATATATATGCATATTATAATTATATATCTGTATTTTGTAGTTATATAGCTGTATATTATAGTTATATATCTGTATATTATAGTGCGCGAAGCGTCCTCTAAGGCTAGTATCTGTATATTTTAGTTATATATCCGTATATTGTAGTTATATATCTGTATATTATAATTATATATATGCATATTATAATTATATATCTGTATTTTGTAGTTATATAGCTGTATATTATAGTTATATATCTGTATATTATAGTTATATATCTGTATTTTGTAGTTATATATCTGTATATTGTAATTATTTATCTGGATATTGTAATTATATATCTGTATATTGTAGTTATAAATTTGTATATTATAGTTATATATCTGGATATTATAATTATATATCTGTATATTGTAGTTATATATCTGTATATGTAGTTATATATCTGCATCTGTAGTTATATATCTGTATATTGCAATTATATATCTGTATAATGTAATTATATATCTGTATATTGTAGTTATATATCTGTATATTGTAACTATATATCTGTATATTGTAATTATATATCTGTATATTGTAATCCTACCCCACCATAATTGTTTAAGTAGATTTGGCTGCACATTAACCACATTAAGGAAATCTAGTATTCTTGTTCCAATTCAGCTTGTATGTATTCATGTTCTTCTTTAGAACATACATCTAATTCTTGGTAAATATAACATCCTAGTTTTGAACAAACTATTAATATTAGTATTTTAAACGCGGCTTTAAACCTTTTTTTAATTTATATTTATTAGTACATTTCGTGTAGAACGTTTTAAACATGAGAAAACATGTCTGCGAATTTAACTTCACGATTGACATACAATGAAAATGCGCAAAAAGAAAATTCATAATTCATCAAAATTTTATTTTGAATGTTTGTGTTAAAACTGAAGAAGAAAAAGATATCTTTAGCCTCCAGTTGCGGTGAGGGGGTTGAGATCTTATCCAATATAATTATCACAATGTTGAAATTGTCAATTGTCCAAGACCATTATTACAGTGAATCGATTTAACCCCCTATTGACGGTCTGATTTACGTCCAAATTGGACGGATCTGCAAAGTTTCCCTTCCCTTATGTTCCCTTTAGCATCCCCCCTAAGCATGTCCACCCTCCCCTCCCCTTTTTTGTATCAATAATAGGAGAGGGGGAGGGGAGGAAAAGACTATTTAGGACGGGATGTGACGGTATCAAGAACACGGAACATGATGGCATCGGGAAAGAGATGATGCATCAAATCATGGGAGGGATTTGGATTGGCATCACGAGGAAGGGAGAGGGTTAGATTTGCATCATAAGAGAGAGGGTTAGGTTTGTATCATGAGGAAGGAAGGTATTTGCATCATGAGGAAGGGGGGGAGAAGGGGGATGTTAGGAAGAGAATGATGCATTATTTAAAAAAAAAGAACTTATGGAGAGGGAAGGGCCCCCTTAAGAAATATTTTCTAGATATGGCTCTCATATTTGAACTGATATTTCATAAGTATAATGTTAGGTGGGTGTGATAAATTACAAAGAATAGAGGGAAGGATCAAGGGGGGGGGGCGGTGGAATGCAGAAGGTCTGGAAGGGAATGGGGGGCATGATCCACATTTTGAAAGCCAATTGTAATCTTAAAATTTTCTGAAATATTTTTCTTTGAGATAAATCATTGAGGTGTATACTGTAGTGTATATATAAGCTATACACAATTCACAAAATAATCTAGGATAAAAACATAGAAAAGAATATGAAAAATTCTTTCAACGAAAATAAAATAATCTTTAGAAATTTCAAGAAATTAAAACAGATTTAGCTTGTTTACAAATGTCCTGTTTTCGTCTCTTAAATCTCAAAAATCGGCTTAGCCTCTTAAAATTCCCTGGTGATGTGAACAACACGTAGGATTAGAGCAAATCTAAAAATGTGTTCTTAAATGACAGGAGAAATAAAAATACCTGCATAACTGCATTCAGTTCTGCCATTGTAATTTGTTTAGCTCTCTCAACTGCTACTGCAACTTGTTGTTGATGCTAAATAAATATATTTTAAATCAAGAACAAAAATTCTTAATATTGAGAAAAAATATACATTGATAAGGACTGTGGACTTAATTTTATTTAATAACTTATTATTAAATAGTCTTAGAAAAATTCTGAAAAATATTTTTTTTCAATCTTAATAACCCCCGGTCAATTACCATAAAAAACACATCAATTGTAATTTTGCAACAACGATAATAACAATACAGAAATTCAAAATAAACAAATTCACCATTAAAGAAAGGAAAAAATCTTTTTACATATTTTTTGTATTTTAATTATTTACCTCGCCAGATAAGAAGGGTAGAACTTGTCTTATTATTGCATCAAGACGTTTACAGATCTCAGTTTGTTTATGCATCTCTACATTCAAGCCGTAGGACATCTCATAGTACTAAACAGGAGATATTTAAACATAGAGATATAAACCGTAGGACATCTCATAGTACTAAACAGGAGATATTTAAATAAAGATATAAACCGTAGGACATCTCATAGTACTTAACAGGAGATATTTAAATAGAGATATAAACCGTAGGACATCTCATAGTACTAAACAGGAGATATTTGAATAGAGATATAAACCGTAGGACATCTCATAATACTTAACAGGAGATATTTGAATAGAGATATAAACCGTAGGACATCTCATAGTACTAAACAGGATATATTAGAATAGAGATATAAACCGTAGGACATCTCATAGTACTAAACAGGAGATATTTGAATAGAGATATAAACCGTAGGACAGCTCATAGTAATAAACAGGAGATATTTAAATAGATATAAACCGTAGGACATCTCATAGTACTAAACAGGAGATAATTTAATAGAGATATAAACCGTAGGAAATCTCATAGTAATAAACATATTTATAATAAATAATATATAATAAAATAAGTCACAATTTTCAATTTAAATAAATTGATTACTCGCCAACAACTCTTTTTTTAATAATACCTTAATCTTTGCAACCTGATGGAGTAATCCTATAATATTTCAAACTAACGAATAACTAATAAATCTTGCAAAATTTTTGTTTGAAATATCAGATTGCAAAGATATTTAGTTTGAGGAAAGTGTTTAATTGTTATAATTTATATTATTTATCTCAATCTAAAAAATGGTTTCGACATCCCTGACATGTTGTTAAAACTATTTTATTTGCCAGTAATTATACAGCGAGTATAAAGTATTTTAAGAATATATGTTACGATCCTATAAAACCGAGCAGAATATATTTAAAGTCTAATTAATGTATGAAGTAGAGAATTTATATTTTAGTTTCAAACTTGAGTTTTAGTTTTCAGCTTATGCAGTGTAAATTTAGTTGAACATTTTAATTCCAGTCAACTTTATATAAACTTAATTGAAAATTATTTTTAAACATTTTGACTTTGAACGAAGTCTACAATTGTAATGCATGCTTTCTTTTTATTTTAAATTAAAAATTTTGTCACGGAAATTTCGACTTTTTAAACTATTTGTTAAAAGTATTGTGTCATGAAGTTTTCAAAATTTAATATTTCTGAATTAAATTTTTATATTTTGAAGGATGAGACTATATAATATTGGGATATGTAAATGCCGGGAAAACTTAATATTTTTACTTCCAGAAACTGCAAAATTCTTAAAAGAATATTTAAGATCAAATTTTACAAAAATTTTATATTTATGAATATTAATGTTTAAAAAGAGAAAGCAAGGGGATATTTTGTAGAAGACGGAATAAAAATAAAATACTGAAACCAAATAAATGAATGAATATCAGTTCCTTGAAACCGGATCAGCTGATCTGTACTTTTTCAGTTCCTTGAAACCGGATCAGCTGATCTGTACTTTTTCAGTTCCTTGAAACCGGACCAAATTCTTTAAATTCGGCCTCTGTACATTGTGTATCCCTTGAACCCGGATGAGCTGATCTGTCATTTTTTCAATCCCAGATCAGCTGATACGCACTGTGTTAGGTTCCTGTATCCAGATCCGCTGTTAAAATCCATGATCATATCAGGATCTTCTCTTTTCGGATCAAAATAAAATGAACTCGAACCAATAATTGTTACTCCTAAAGCTGGTTTTTATAAAAACTTAACCTCTTACACATAATCCTAAATCAAGTCTTTGACAGAGAATTTAATTTTTTTATTATAAAAACAATCATTCACCAACAATCATTATTTTGAAAACAATCTTAAAAGAAATATTTTTAAATAAAGATTTAAGTTGGTGGATTGTGTGCTAACAATGTTTAATAATAAAGAACATAAAAAGAACAAGTTCGGACACCATTACTTTGAATGATAAATAGTAAATTACTGAGGCTATGTAGTCCTTGCAAGCCTAGTAATAAATGAGACTTTGTAGTTTCAAGTAAATAATTACATCCAACAACATTTGCTTAAGTATAATCGTTAATAAGAAAGCTTAATTGAGTTAAAAAATAATAGTGTTGAGTTAAATTGTTTTATAAAAGGTACTAGCTGAAGGGCCCGGCGTTGCCCGTGGAAAAAAATAAAATCTTTTAAACCTAAAACACACTACGGCAAGTGTCCACAAAAAATCAAGTTCAATCGGTCCAGCCGGTTGGCCGGCTATACCCAACATATTTCTGAATGTCTTGTTTTATTGTACAGGGTAAGGTAAAAAGTTAATGTTCTAATTCTAATATTCCCTGTTTATATTAAAACTGTACTTTCAATTACGACCATTTTTCTTTAAAAATTATGGAACTTGACGAAGTCTGAGATATTCAATTCAAAATTGAATTTAAAAAGAATAATTAAGAAGACGGAAAATTCTTTCTTTTTGAACATGTATTTATAACTTTTTAAAATCTAATCTTTAAAAACTTACGAATGATATTGATTTTGGATAAAATTGAATTCTTCTTTTATTCTTTCACAGGTTTCCGTGATGCCTAGCTTAAGGGAACCACCAGGGCCGCCCTACACATAATCTTCGTCAAATCAATGATATTAATCAACTAACTAATTTATGACATTTAAATCTATAGATTCATTATAGCATGCATTTTGTTTAATAGTAAAATTAAAATAAAGCAGGAAACACTAACATTGGACATTTTGTCACCCTGAGGCTGAAGCGCTGAGGCCGCAGAAGACATCGCAGCGGCCTTTAACAGTCAAAACATCAACCTCCAAATGTACAAGAAGAAGGGCAACCAAATGTTGAAAAATCTTGGTTTTGGGCGATGAATAAAATTTGATAAAAAGCGCCAAGGTAAGGTTACATGCGCGAATGAGTAATGAAGAATCGAGCGCGGAATTGTTTGATTTTACATAACTTAAGAGGAGAGTTAATGAATGGTCAGAACAAGCTTTGATGAACAAGGCAAGGAGATGTAGAACTAATGAGAGGAAAGAAAAGTTTGTTTGAATTTAACAAATACGTATCAGGACAGCCCTAGAACTAGTTTTATTGAAAACAAAATAACGTTAAGTAAACAAAGATTACTTGGACCATAACATGTTCAGAAATACAAATCCAGAGGTGCGGGAACTTTTAATTGTAAATATCGATCCTCAAATTAAAATTGCACACAGTGGATATCGTTATCAAGCTATCGGGATTATTATGAGTATCCAACAACAAGTTCCCAGCTCTGGTTTATATTTTCTTTGAAATTTTCAAAAAAAAACGAGTTTGAAACTGTCCTGAAACATCTCCGTAAAATGAAACCAAACCGTGGCTCTCTACTTGTATATAAACTAATTAGGATGGGGGGGAGGGGGGCTTTGATTGATTGATTGATAACGGTGATGTAAGTGCCTGTGCAGCAGCACTGCTGGCAGCAAGTGACATCAAGTGCTCCTGTCTCGAGCTGGCCATGGATACCGGGGGCATGTCAAGCCGGGGTGGTAACCCGCCAGGCATACCGCCGAGCCCACCCAAACCACCCGGTGGACCCCCGCCCGGAAACTGAAATAAAATAAAACAAAATAAATAAAAATAATTTATAAAAAAATATCATGCAAGCAAACAACAACTAAAAATAAACTTTCACTAAGATTTTTTTGAGATCTCGCGCCCTTTGAACTGCCAACACTGGTGTTTATATTAATGTAAACTGTACAGTATAATCTGTGTGGGAAGGAGAGACTAAAAAAGTTTCTTGTTTATACAATAAATTCTCACGCGAACTTTGAGCAAACAAATATATAACTTTGGACGATTTAGAAGTTTTATCTAAAACATGTCTTTTTTTAGAACCTTTGAACCCTTATCTTTAAGTTAGGCAGTTTAGCAACTTTGAAGTAGTGAGTTTTTAGGGGTAGACTGGGGGGGGGGGGATTTCATCTTTCACAAGAGGGTAAGGGCGGTGTCAGCCATTAGGCCACGGTTGAGAGGAATTTTGCCCCTGGGCTTTTAGGTCCTTCAGACCGTTTTACAGCTTTTTACAACGTAAAAAATGGAAGACATGAGCAGGGAAGGGTAGGAGGTGGGGGTAGAAGGAGGGATGGGTTGAAAAGGGAAGATTATGGTTGTAAAAAGGTTAAGTGGGGTTGGAGGAAAGCAAGGAAAATGTGAAGATTCTGTGAAATAAGTAAAGGATGAATTTGAATGACTGATCTCTGCTTATAGGCGTTTAAAGAGAAATTAAAATATCAAATTTAAGGAGAGAAAAAGTGTAGTTTGGTAATTTTAACACAAACTGCAGATAGGGATTAAATAATATAATTTTACGGAAAAATTGTAAATTGACAAGGATAAAAATATATCTGAGAAATGGATAAAGTAAAACATGATATAAAGGAGAATTATTAGACAAGGCTTGAATGTTCCACCAGATTCTAGTTTAAATTGAGTGAAATATTAGCATTTCTGAGTAGGGTCAGTTGGTGGGTGGTTACTTAGGGGGTCAGGGGGAGAATAGAGGATAGGTGTTATCAGATGGTTACAGAAAGGGGGAGGGTATGAAGGGGGGTAAATAGATTAATCTAGGGTATGTTGGATTACTATAATTCGCTTAAGCCAGACGTATTACTGTTAATTTCTCTACGAAGCTATTGTCAAATGCTTAACTTAGTGATATACTTTTAAACATAAATTTAAGGTTTTTAAGCTATATTAATTTTATGCAAAACTTTAAGTAATAGGGCCATTAATACGTACCGCTCGTGGGTCCACAGGATGCCTTGAGGGCCCCGGATACATCATTGATGCTTGTTTTATATAATCACTTGCAGGAAACATACATATCTAGTCATACACTGGTGGGGGGAAAATTCTTCCCACTGGGAAGTAAATAATTCCCCTAGAATCAAGGGGAAATGATGCACTTTTGCCCCGGGTTGGGGAAACACACTTTTCACTTGTTTGTAAATGATCAACTAGCTGTCAGTGGATCTCTGAAATCAAACAAAATATTAGAAATATTATATTAAGCAATTAATATTTAGTGGTCAATTCAATTAATGGCTTTTAGTGTAGAATAATTACAAGCTTAAATGGTCTATTCACGTTTATCAATTTAACAAAAATAATAAAATTATAACCCGTTCAATAAGACAAACCCCCTCCACCAATTGGAATTCTTTTAGTTAATGTGCAATTCTTTAATAAGTTACAAATAAAAATAAACTTTGTTTTCATGAGATGATTTAGATAAATTAGACAAATACATTTCTGCCATTTAAAGGACCATTTTCCTACTTTTTATAAAGATTTAAGGAAAAAAGATTCGGATTAGAATTTTGCCGCATTTTCACCTTCTGAGACCAACCACGACTGAAGCTAAGATCCAATTTTGCCGAACCGGCCGGTCCTTATTTTGTCGTCACAATAATATGACCAATCAGAGGCGAGTAGTCAACGTGGACTGGACTCCTAAAATGACTAGAAGTTCAGATGTCCAGTCCCGTAACTAGAGACTAGAAATATATTGAAAATAGACCAATGAAATCACAGGAAAAGTTTAGACGCCATTTGATTAGTAGAAACAATTTCTTTAAAGGGCAAAGAAAATAAAACTTAAAGTTTTTGATTAAAATGCTGAATTTGAAGGATATATTGAGAAATGGTCATTTTTTATCCTAGTAAAAATTAAAATTTTATTCTCTTTCATGTAAGGGCTTAAGGTTCTAGGCCCACTGTAGCCTGTTTTGACCAATGAGCGAGCAGTATTCCCAACTCCATCTATCGGACGTCCTTGTAAACAGAGACTTCAGAATCCACTGTAGTCAGTGTGTGAGCTCCAATCGTAGTAGAACTCTGAAGAACGGGATTTTCCGATCGGACATTTTTTGTAGCGTCGGTAGTTCCCGTTTTTGAATGATATGAAGTGACTCTCTGCTCTAGCAATGGAATTTAAAAACGTCGTGTTTAACGCAGCCCGTGACGGAAAGTTGCGACGTTTAAAGGTTGGTATATCTGTTTTTTCTTCTTCATGTTTTAGGCATTAGTGCAGACTGTTGCCTAAAAATACACCGTAATCTACCTGGGCACTCAATGTACGCAAAATATAAGCGTACACCTAGGTTTCCAGCATTATTAACCACGCTTAGAACATTTTTACTATAGAGTTTATTCCTTGATTTAAGATACCAGTAACAAGGTATATAGAAATAAACGATTATCAATCAATCAATCAGTTTATTCCTTACATGAAAGTATTGTCTTCTCAATTTTATTATTATTTTAATCTTAAGATCACTATTCACTCGGCCCAGAGAGTGTCTTAACCTAACCTAACCCTAAATAATACTAAATAAATACTAATCTATTAATTTCGTCATGTACAAAATTGATAGGAGGGGGGGTGCCTGGGGGCGGGGTCTAAAAGTCGTTCACTAGGACAGACCCAAAATTCTTTGTTCTTTATTTTATTGACTGAGCTCTCAATAAATTTAGCGACCCCCTCCCCCCTCCTCGATAAATTTGTACAGTAATGACGTGTGGTAGTAATGAATATCAGGATATTTATTAATTTGTACAGTATTGACTAGTGATAGTAATGAATATCAGGATATTTATTAATTATTAAACTAAATTATGGTCAAATAAGGCTAGAAAAATAATTCATTGGACAGTAGAAAAATACCAGTATAATTGAGAATGAGAGATCGTTTTCGTTCAAAATGAAAAAGGTCAATCGAGATCACTAAATTTCTTGAAACCCAAATCGAGATCACTAAATGTCTTGAAACCATAGAGAATAGAATATATATTAGAGGGGAATTTACTAGAAAAAGTGTAAAACGCCATTTTGTTGTATCTGTTTCCATACTGCAGGTGTATTTCACATATTTATGCAATTTAACCTTTTGGGCCCTGGAATATCGTTTTATAGAAAATCTAAAATTATTGTTAAAAGAAAACCAAATTATGAAATAGGCTGGTTTCATAAGTGACCAATGATTATTTCACATAGACTCTAATCCCTCATATTATAACTTCTTATATCGAGCAAAGTTCCAAGAAGACATTAACTAATTAAACCCCACTTTCCCAGAAATAAAATGAATCTGATCTTCTTTATTTAAATATTTGATTTTAATTTTATTCTATTCTATTCTATATCGTGTTTTTTTTTCAATAATTTTCCTTGTCTGGGAATTGTAGTACGAATTGTAAAAGAGCTTTCTTGTGGTTTTTTTTTCCTTGCTCGCGACATATCCACCAAAGATACCTATTTTTGGTCTGAAAAAATTAACAAAAGATATCCTTCATAAACAGTTGGTAAATAGTTTTTAAAAAAACCAATAAAAAAAATCTTTATGGTTTTGGAGAGAAAAATACACGTCCAGTACCTTAAACCTTAAAAAGGCACGATAAAAGCATATAAAGGGGTGAAATTCTAAATTTATTTTTTATTTTTAATATTTTCTGTTGAAGTCCATTAAAACTTTTTATTTTGATGTTAATTAAAGATAAAAATTCCCTTTTCTGCCTGAATATGTACGAACCATGCATTTACTTCACACTCCACTTAGTAGTTCCGCACCTTGTCATATTTTTTCATTTTTCTTTAAGTCAAGTTAAATTAAAGATTGTTCAGTTTAATGTTGCACTGTAAACATTTAACAGGTTTTTACAATCCATTGAGAAGAAATTCAGAGATAAGCAGAAAGTAAATAAAAAAGCAATAACATTAGTTGAACTATTTCTTTTTCATTGGTCTATGAATTCTTTAATTCTATAACCCAATTAAAGTTCTCATAATTTTGATCCCATTTAGAATATATTAGTAAAATAAAATGAAAATTCTCGATTAAATCCGTACATAACTACTCTACAGTTTCCAGGTCTATGAGTTTACTTTATTTCTTGGATCAATTTCCAGTGTTTTACAACGAATAAAGTTTATATTTTTCCATAATAATTGCCTATAAAAGTTTTTGCTTTATAGAAAGTTTAAGATAACTGTCACATTTTATTTATAGAAATAAATACAATTATTTACTTTTCGTAGCAGTGTTAATTCTTATGAAGAACAAACTTGTTTTGACCTTACCTTGCTAAATAAGAATCGCATAACTTTTTTTTCAGAAAATGGTTCATTTATGAAGATTGAAAGGAATTTAGTTAAGAAATTAAGTTATGTTTCTATAATTTAATTTTGTTTTTTATTTCAATGGGGGCTAGTATCTTGTTACAAATGTAAAGGAGCTTTATGGTAAAGTAAAATTTTAAGGAACCGAACATTTCCTAAAACCTTATGTATCGTATCCCTTCTGATAAGTTCTGCTGAAGTATTCTAATTTTGTAATATCAAAGCTTTACCATAGGTTTAAAAACAACTAATAAAACGTACATTTACTGTGAAACCCATAAAACTGTGGATATAGAAGACGACTTTCAAAAATGCCAAAAAACATGACCACAGAAAAACCACAGAATTTGTGTAGTATATACACTGTACATGGGTCCATTTCTCTCTAAAAAGTAAGGTTTCAATCGACTGCAAAACAATTCGCTTTGTTACAAAAAATACACTTTTCTGTTCCACAGTTTTTCGGTTTCCACTTTAAGTTGTTTACTGGCTATATCTAGTAGAAGTGGGTGTATGGTAACCGTTCAAGCTAGAACGATGATGCGTAGATATTTACTATACGCTAGGTTAATATCTCAGTTACTATATCTAGATTTTTAGAAACCTTACTTGCATTAGTAACCTAGAGTACAAATCTTTACAAATACTCTCACGATTCCAAATCACAGGGAAAGCTAAGAATGTAGATTTAAAACATGTTTTCAAATAATGCTTTCAATATTTTTTTTTCAGGGCCTCACTGCAAAAAAAAAAAAATATTGTTTAACGTCTTAGGCGTTTTGTCTGTATTTCTGGCAAAACACCAAAAAATGTAGTTTGTTCTTGAAACGTGAGACAAAACTAGGAGCTCTAAGCGAGAGTTTAAGATTTATTTGAAAATAAGGATATATCGGGGGGGGGGGNTTTAGTTAACAGTGGTTTATTAAAAACAAACTACGTTTAGTTAACAGTGGTTTATTAAAAACAAACTACGTTTAGTTAACAGTGGTTTATTAAAAACTAACTACGGTTAGTTAACAGTGGTTTATTAAAAACAAACTACATTTAGTTAACAGTGGTTTATTGAAAACAAACTACGTTTAGTTAACAGTGGTTTATTAAAAACAAACTACATTTAGTTAACAGTGGTTTATTAAAAACAAACTACGTTTAGTTAACAGTGGTTTATTAAAAACAAACTACATTTAGTTAACACTGGTTTATTAAAAACAAACTGCATTTATTTAACAGTGGTTTATTAAAAACAAACTGCATTTAGTTAACAGTGGTTACACAAACCCAGCAACCCTTAGTGCTCAGAAAAAACTGATATTATTTATTCTGTCATTGGTTAAACATTATATTGGTGGTTATCGGGACGTCCAAAAAACTTCTCTTTCAAAATTTAACCAAGAACATGATGGAAAATTTATGCAAAGAACAAAAAAACATTGGAAAGCAAGTGTGAAGTGCAGAAAATAAAGTACAACATGAACTCTTACAGGGTGTGTGCAGACGTGTGAGCACCCTGGTTTATTGCTTTGACCATCATCTATTCAATTTATACATATTGCTAAAAACTAAAATTTTTAAAGAAATGTTGAAAATGTTAAAAAATTCTATCATTGATTAGCTTACAATTGTAATTTTTATGTTTATGTTTTGCGAGATTAAATTAGTTCTCCTGAATGTTGGCGCGTGTAACCCTTTCATAAGTTAATTGGCATGAAACTTAATTACTATTGCTTAGTATACTTTGGATGGATATGCTCTAGTTGTAATCTTCTACTTGGTTCAAAATACATTTTTAGAATGAATTTGATCGAGAGAAATAGGAAAATATCTTAAATTGTATTGTTGGATTGTGGTTGCATTGTATTTGACATTGATTGTTTTATATGGAACACGGTTTAAAAATGGTTTAAATAAATAAAAAAAAGTTTTAAAAACCGGTTTTATGGAATATGTCTGGTTCATTTGTAATAGAACCGGATTCAACTGGAGTTCAGAGACTATTGATTGATATTCTGTTGGATTGATAAATTGGATTTAATTAATGGGATGGGATGGGATGGGATGGGATGGGATGGGATGGGATGGGAAAGATGCAGATATTTATTTTAATTGATTAGGCCCTCCGCAGTTTTCCAATAAATGCATTTGACTTGATTTTACAATAAATGGTGGTTTCATAGATTAGAAATTTAAATTCTAGTTTCAACATCAGCAAATCAATTTAGATTTATTTTGGGATAAATAACTTATGAAATATTATCTTTCTTTATCGTATAAATCTCTTTTTGTGCGTCTGATAATAACTCAAAAACCTTTTACCGATTTGCCTCAAATTTGAATGTAACTTTTGAAATTTGATAAGCTTGTAGATACAAAATTAAGAAGTTTATATTCATTGCGAAAATATATATCGGCGAATTGAAAGAATAATTGGCAGGTTTAGTTTCATATTGTAAAAATTTAGCAAGCTGTCAAACCTGACTAAAAACTGGATTGATACCTCCGTTAAAACATATTAGTTGCTGCTCGTAAAAGGTGGAATTTACTGCCTTAAAACAAGCCTTGTTTTGCTAGGCAGAAAAAGCTAGGATTGATAAGACAGCAACAAATAGATGTTGAGAGATTTGTTTTATTTATCAGTCAATTTATCAGATTCGAAAATATTATTAACTTTGAATGAATGAATCAACGAACGGAGCTGATACAAGTTACTAAAATCAAGTAGACAAAGAACATCCATTTTTTAAAGCATGTTTTCTGCCACATGTTAAACCTGTTTTTTTTATAACGTTTCAATTGATAAAGAATAGTTTAGATACGTTTTATGGCTCCATATGTTTAATGTTTAGATATATATTGATAACAAAAAATTAT